TGGAAAGTCAGGGAAAATCAGGGAAAGTCAGGGAATTCAAAACAAAAATTTGAGTAGGAACCCTGTACATATTTACCATCGTTATTGATAACTCTTTGCCATTTTTCGGGCAACCCTTGCATAAAATTTTGGTGGTTTTGAATCAAAAAAACTCCTGAACCTGGTCATCATTTTGGAAGCATTGCCTGGAAAAGATGGAAATCTGTTGATACCAGGTCTGGTGAATGAGGCAAAACAGACCAGCCAAACTTCAAAACTTTTTATTATGTAATCTTTGCTGTGTGCAGGACACTTTTCTTGAAGTTTTAGCTGAAGTTGCTCAACTGTTGTATGTATAGTATGTATACATTTACAGTTTCATTGTGTGGATGATTCCTCGACGATCCCACCATACACAACAAAATTTTTCTTTCATATGCACTGGGCTTAGGGTCCAGTTGTGGCTGATCATCTTTGTCAACCCATTGTCTTTTTCAAATGATATTTTTGTATGTGATCCACTTTTTTTGGATAAAATTGTCACGGGAAATGAAAAGGTTCCTCTTTATGCCAAGAAAACAAGGTAGCAACTATTGACCTCCTTATTCTGTTTTCACTGATGTTATGCAGAACCCAATCTATTGTACTCAATCCAATATATATATATAATAATACCTGGTATATTTTATCAAGTATTTAGTGGTGTTAAATAATTTATATATAAACATTTTTCTTTAATTTATAGCTCTCTGAAGATTGGCAGATTGACTATGAATCATATTCCTGGAAACAACTGGATCCTAATTCTGAAGAAACCAAGAAACTTGTTAATGAATATTTAGCTTGGGAAGGTGATTTTGGTGGAAAGAAATTCAATCAAGGCAAAATTTTCAAATAAATCAATGTGGATCATTAGTTGGTGCTTGAAGTATTTAAAGCAAGATCACAAAAGTTTTTGTTAAGATTGTAAATGTAAAGAGCCTTAAAAAAATCAGGTTTTTTACAATGAACCAATAAAGAATTTTGTTGGACTTTCAATGTAATTTATCTATTATTTGAAACACATTGCATTATTATTGATAAACTGATTAATTTTATAATGAGATTGAATCTCTCTATTTTAGAATTTTTATGAAAATATATATAAAAAAATATCAATTTTTTTATTCCTCCTCTGAGATAGCTAGGATCCATATTTTTAAATACACAATAATAGAATAAAATAGTAAACTCTAATAATTGTTTATCATTAAGATTTAGTGATTTTAAAATTATCGTAAGATAGTTAAGATACTAGTCTACATCACATTTAGAATGTTAAATAAAAGCTATTTAATTTCAACTTTTAAAAAAATTGCAGCAATAGGATAAAACTTATTTTGTCATTCCATCTTCAACTATAATTCCCTCATACCATTCTTGTTAAAGTCTGAACAATAAACAGTTAGGATTTGTAAAAATTATTATAGATATCTTTGATACTGTTTCAAAGATGGAAGGATAAAGCTTTGATGCATGTTGGAATTATGGATAAACTTGCACTAAGTCATCTGGCCATTATATCTCAACTTTGCTTTCATTTTTGATTAATTTACACACTAATCATACTGGGTTTCTATACATATAGTGTTACACATACACACATTTATGAAAGTTTGATTTTTTTGTATTCTTTATATTAATAATCAGTATGTAGAATAAATTATAAATAATTATGCAAACCTGATACAAGTACAATTTATGTACTTTTGTGTAATCTTACTGTACGAAAGCATATAAATGCATGACAGAAAAACTGTACTTAGTACATTAAATCAAAAGATAATAACCAGTTTATTATATGTTTTATTGTATTATGTTAAATAAGCACAAACTTAAAATCATTACTTAAAAATAACAAATTTATTTTACTAAAATGCTTTCTCTATGTTAATAATATGATCTATATTCAAAATGATGGGAAATAGGGCACTGCTATTGTTTACTGACATTATGTTGCTCTTTCAACCATGCATGTCCATTGTGTACAATTCTAGATGTGACACTTTTTAGCATCACTTCTAAATTCTTGCTGAAACATGAGATCTATAATTGTGCACATTCTCACTTAGTATTTTTGGTAAATATTGCTTAAATCAAAATAGTAATTGTGGTGATAATTGTTGAAATGGATAACAGTATAATATAGAAGCTGTTTAATTTTACTGAAATTTTCTGATGAAATGCATGTTAGAGGATTTAAAATTATTTTAACTTACATCGTGAAAATGATACTTTGGTGATCACAAAGCATTTCGTGCTTAATGTATTCAAACTGTGACTATTACGGAAAAGCCAACATGTCCTGAGAACATGAATATTTTGGACAGGACTACACATTATTATTACTGATCTGAATTGTAGAAACAGCAGCAATTATTCTAATTTATGTATCCTAAGCAAATACTTTACAGTAATTTTAATATATGTTGTATACAATATAATACAAAATTAAAAAAACACCAACTTTAATGCACATTTTCTAATAAAAAGTTAAAATCTACATTAACCTGAACATTATGAAAAAGGCAATCTAATTAAACAATAATTATTACATATGACAATTCAAGTGCATTTGTTACTTGTCTTTGATGGATATTTAAAACAACTCATCTAAACTGTATTACAATAGAAAAATATAAATTATTCCTCTTTACTTGATTTTTATATTTCACAATAGAAAATAATTATTATTGCTAAATAAAATTTATTCTTATCTTCATAATTACAGTTTATTACATTAAATTATAAAAAGCAATTGTTTTATATACATTTATTTTATGAATGTTATATACATTCTTGATACAGGCTATCTCAACTGTAATTGGCAAAGTTTTAAATTATTCAAAATGGAATACATAAATTCAGATAAAGGTTGATATTGTTCCAGTTGTTGCACTATTGTCTTAACGGGTTTTAATTCTCCTTTAGTTGAATTAAAAATACATAGATATACTTTGACATTTTGATAAATTTGGATTTGAATTTCAATCATCTTTGAAGATAAAAATAATAGATTCTTATCCTTACTAAAATTCTCTAAGAGATACTCTGCTTGTTCTAGACATTTGTTAGCAACATCTGAGATAGAAAAATTACAATCATCATCTATATTAATATGTAAAGCTTCTTTTAAGTAACTTGAAGAAATTTTAAGATTGGTTGCATTTTGTTGAATGATTTTTGTAAAATGTGTTGCTACTAAATTAGTAAAAGTAATTTCTTCTAAATAAACATTCATTTCACCTTTATCAAAGGGTTGTTCATCTCCCTACATTAAAATAAAATGATTAGATTTGCTTATGTGTATATTTATATGATAAAAAAAATTATAAAAATTGATAAATGAAATTTTTTATAGCAAAAGGATATATACCTGGACTGATAAAAAATCTTCTCTATCACACATAAGCATCCAATTAAGTAAAGTGATAAAACAATGAAGCAAATGTGATTCATTATATTGATGCACAAATTGCTTTATTAAAATATCCAAAGCAAGTAAAGGGGTAAAGCTTCTACATTTTTCTGACAAAACAATTTTTTTATGATTATAAATTAATTTATAAAAAAAAGTAATAATGTTAAAATAAATTTATAAATAAAACATTAAAATATTTATTCAATAATACAATTTCATTGTCAAAAGGATTTTTTTCAACAAAGTGAAAAAATATTTTATCTGTAAGATTATTTTCCATTTTACTATTAACAAATAAACCTCATAGACAAATGGACATGCTTTTTGTTGTATTAATTAGAATTATTATTTAGACTTGATAATTAAAAATAGTTAGTTAGTTTAGTTTAGTTTATTAAACATAATAGGCAGTCGCCTGTTACAAGGGGGTACATACATGACAATGTAAGATGGAAAATAAACATTTAATAACAAGAAATCAAACATATCTCCACTTTGGAATAACATATAGTATTTAAGATTTTACATTTAAAATTCTTCTTACACCATTATAGAAATTGTAAATTTCATTAGTGGTAGCTTGATTAAATATATTGTACATATGATTAACTACACTTTGGCTGATATTTTGATCTCCAGTGATCTCTGAATCTTGATCTTTATTAAAGTCACAGCCATAAAATAAATGAAGCTTTGATAATGTTTTAGCACAATTTGGACAAAAGGAGTGATAATTAAAAATATGAAAAAAATATTTTTCTACATTCTAATTATGCTTTATGCATGCTAACAATGCTCTGATGGATATGGAATGCCATAATTTCATTGGTCAGATGGTGTTACTTTTGTGGGTGGGTATTGGTGTTTTTCAACATAAAATAGTCATTGACTTCCCCTGGGTGAAAAGATAATCCTAAGCATAAAAATCCTTTCTAATTTTAATTCTAACATAATATTCATGACTGAATTCCAATTAGTAATTGACCAACCAATCAAATCATAAAAAATTAACTAAAGATTCAAACTCAGCATTCTTAAAAATCTAGAATCATATTTTGTGCTTTCTCATATTATGCTAAAATTAAATTCAAATGTCTTGTAGGTCAGATAGAAAAACTGTTTTAGGCAAAAGGATGAAATTTATTCAGTCAAAAGTAGTCATTGACCTGCTTGGTAAGATAATATTCACTGAAAAGTATTGCATTTGCCCAAACCATGTCCAGATGTATAAAGAACCAACTAACAAAATTTTCTTCATTTCTTTATATATACAGTGGTACCTTGGTATACTTTAGAATACGTCCTGTTTGGGCGAAACAAATTTTGCTTGGTATACGACTTAATTCAATTATACGTGCAATTATATCTACGAACAAGTAGCACTATCGGTGTATTAGACCAGATTAGATGTTCGCGGTGCCACGGTTTATAACTTTGTTAAATTTCTTCTGATTTTAATTTGTAAGTAAAATTTTATTATTTTTATTAATCATGAATTGCAAAAAGGCATCAGAAAAATAAAAAAATGACTAGAATCACAATGGAACTGAAAAAAGAGATTGTTGAGAAATATGAAGGTGGAGTGCATGTTCAAGATTTAACTGTTGCATACCGTATTCCAAGAACAACGATATCGACAATCATGAAAAATAAAGACATTATTAATTTGCTAATGTTGTGAAAGGGGTTAAATCAATTTCTAAACAGAGATTGAAGACATTAGATCATGTTGAGAAATTGCTTTTGCTTTGGGTAATACTTAATAAATGTTCATCAGTTTTTCTTCAAGATAAAAAGAAAATTTTAGGTAAACTTTGAATATTCAGTGTGCTGGCAACAGCATATCAGAAGCAATTATTTGCGAGAAAGCTGAAAAGATACATGCTGGTCTCATGAAAAATCAAGCAGGAACTAGCTAGGAAAGCGAGGTGTTTAATTAAAGCCAGCCATTTTTTTTACATGAGAATGGATTAATCATTTTTACATTACTTCTTATGGGAAAGATTGGTTTGGTATACGTCCTATTTGGTATAAGTCCAAACACCAGGAACGGATTAAGGCCGTATACAGAGGTTCCACTGTACTGTATATATAAATTACTTATTTAGAATATATAAAGGAACTATTGATAACATATTGTCTTGTCCCTATAATTATATCTTATACTGTTTTCTGAATCATAACAAGAAATAAATATTAAATATGTTATATTATGCTAGCTGGTTAATTTCTTATTCCTAGATCCAAGAAAAATTTATTGTCAGATTATTCTGCTAATGGACATCTCTTTAATAATATAAAATTTATTAATAATAAACCAATTACTATAGTGCTAATAAAATATATAAATATAAATATAATATAGATCTTTTGTTAGTTGTTTATCTGGGATTAATGTGTACAACAGATGAAATTTTGAGCATCTTTTGGAGAATGTTTTTAATTAAACCAAAAAATTAAATATAAATAAAGATGTGTATATGTGTGTACAGTACATGCAAATAAAAATGTACAATTTATTTACAGGTTATATAAAAATGTCATTGCAAAATGTTTTTATATTAAAAAAAATATATCAATATAATATGTTTAAATCAAAACTATAAGCTATCAAATGATTTTGACCATTCTACTAAAATTCTGTGTTTGGTTTTTCATATTAGATTTAAAATTTATACTTACCAGCATTATTTTCATTTTCTAAACATGAAACAATATGTGCACAAGATTCTCTAATATCTGGCTCATCATCTTGCAATAACAATATAAATGCATTCCATAAAAAAACAGTATTATGACCTAAATACAAATAAAATTTTAATAAGCATTTATTTATTTATTCAAAATGCATAAATATCACATTTATTCTAATAAACAGTGCAGCTTCAAGACAAAAATAATAAAGTGAAAAAATTACTGAATTTATTATATTAATAGTCACCCTGTAATAAATAGCACAGCTACAAGCAGAAAGTTATAGACAGCATACTGTTTATTAGAAGAAATTATTTTGACAACATTATATTTAAATTATTTAACCAATTTCATTAATTTTCTATTGAAAATATTCAAAGTTTACCTAAAATTTTCTTTTTATCTTGAAGAAAAACTGATGAACATTTATTAAGTATTTTTGTTATAGTCATTCTTCTTGAAATACTTTGATTGGAGTTAGAAGAGTTATATACAGATTTCATCCATTTATTTAACACAGTTAGTATTTGTTTTGATTCTTCTGAATTCAGATTATTCTAAAATTAATTATAATATACTGTATTAATTTCATTACATAATTTTTTATGTAATAAAATAATGCAAATATTTTTATGTATTAATTAAATAACTGATTTATTATATAAAATTATAAATAATACTTACTTCACATAAAATATTGTAACAAGTGATAGCTATATTTACAGACAGATGATACATGGCATTCACTAAGTCATCCCTATAAAATATATAAAATTTTTTGGTTAGTCTTCTATAATGGGTGTCTTACATAGAAAATAAGTGCCTCTCATATATAAAATAAGCAAACTTAAGTGAAACCCACTTTCTAATATTTTCCACCTTTGGTCATAATTATAAATAGCTTTTTTTAAAATCAGTGAAATAATAACTCCATGTTTTTCTGTATAATACATTAAAATGTATTGTTCAATAAAATCTATTCTAATTTGAAGATTCAATGCTGAAGATCAGATGAAAAATTGACTCTTGAAGACAATTTTTTTTTGTTCTATTAAAATAATAGTTTGTAATGAATAAAAATAAACTGTTATAAACCGATTTCTTTATATATTATTTATATATTATAAATCTTTCATATTTTTAAATAAATTAATATCTTAACTGATATTATGATTTTGTATTAATTAGGATAGTAATTGTAAAAAATTTCTATGATAAAAGTATTTTAAATTTGAATAAAATAGTAAATTAAAACCTGTAACCTGATAATATAACAAATTATTAACAAAATAATTAACTATACATAAATAAGTTTTCATTACTGTATTTTATGGCATATAAAATGCAACTTTTATCCAAAGAAAAGGTTGGAAAAAAGCCCTGTCTCTTATATATGTGAAGTTACAATGTCTCATAGGTTAATGAGTTTCCCAATTGGCCTTCAGTTGGCTATAGGTAACCTCCATCTAGCCCAACTTTTGAATTAAAAAATGTTATTGTTTAATTAACATATTATTATTTGTTATTGCTAAGCAGCTTTTCCTTGTATTCCTGTGTAATATTTTAATTGTAAATGATGTAAGGTTGCATCCCCTAGTGACCCAAGTAGTGATCTGGGTGAACCTCAACATACAATTTTTCTTAACACTGTTTTGCAAAAGATAAGTATTGGGTGGTTTTGTGATGGAGAGTGATAAACACCCATATACATGAAAACAAATATTTATTTATTTTAAATGGAAATGGGAATTTACAACAGATTCTTTTTAACATATAATAGAGAGAGAGTGTGTGTCACCCCCAATCTTATCTGAATGGTTAAAGTTCTTGAATTTGGTTGCTACACTATGTGATCTGCACCTCAACATTATGTCATTCGTTTCTCTATGGTGATCGCAAGTATTGGATGGGACTGGACTTTTGTAAAGTTCTCTTAGAGCAATGTTTCTCAACTTTTCTCTTCATGGACTGGTGGCATTAAGAATAACGTTACATTGGCCAGTACTTATATGTGATTATGAATTATGCTTATTTATCACACTTCTATATCAATTACTGTTTAGTCTAGACCAGTGGTTCTCAACCTTTTTTGTTGATGTACCCCATTATCCCATTAGTTGTTTCTCAAGTACCCCTTATATTTTTGTATGTAAATTCTATAATTACTGCATTAGATGTATATAGTCCTTATAACTGAGCGCCATAAAAAAAACTCTCACTAACTAACTATAACTAAAAGTGGATTACTTATTTTACGTAAATAATAATCAATTTAAACAGGTACTGTACAGTACATATATTTATTTATTACAATTTGATAAGTATATTATATAAAATCACAGAAATCATTTCAATACATGCATAAATTACATTTCCTAAAAATAAATAATAATAATTAACGATAAACAAAATTTAAATTATTCTACAATAATTTCTAACAATTTAATGGGATATTTGTTGCAATAAATCTTCAGCAATTTTTTTCAAAATTTGGTTCCCACCTTGTTAACTGACAATGAATGATGCATCAAGCCTGTTTCTCTTTTTTAGTTTTTGTCACAAATACATTGTTAAAATGGTAAAACTTTTCTTTAGACCTTTTAAATTGGACCTTGCATAGCTTTAACTCCATCAGTGCAGATGTCGATGCACTTTTTCCAATCTATTTCATTACTTCAAATGAAATCATCGATTTTATTGAAAATATCAAAACCTGTAGTTGTATTTTTTAGGTTATTGCACATTAACAAATCTTCGCAAAGCTCAGCGTTGTACTGATATTTCATAAAAACTAAAAACCACTGTCAATCTGCTGACATCGGTGCTTTCATCTATTCTAAAATTAATGCTCTAACCAAGCATTAATTTTAGAATATCTTAGAATATTTTAGAATTAATTTTAGGTTAAATTGAAGTTTTACTAGACTACAGGTTCACTCAGCACTAACGGCACAAATAGACAGGTAAATCAAGTGGATAAACAAGTTGTTTGAACTTGTATAAGGGAAATCAGTGTTCATACTGGGATATTTTAAAGCAAGTTTTTGCCATTTCTTGTGTTAATAATTTACAGCAAATTCATTAACATATGTCATTTTATAATGAAAGTTAGATGTACCCCTTCGATTTATGCTCGTACCCCTACCACTGGTCTAGACTACTGTTTAAATGTCATCTGTATAACGTGATAACCACTGGTCTAGACTACTGTTTAAATGTCATCTGTAATCAACTGTGCCAGCATCAGTATAGTCAAATATTTTTCTACAGATCAGTAAAATTTTTTCACAGATCAGCACTGGTCCATGGACCAACAATTGGGAAACACTGCCTTAGAGGGTTTCACTTGTTTTCTCCCTTTTTTAATTTCTTCTTTTTGTTGTGAAAATTCTTGATCTAACCTACTGGAAATGCCTCGCAATGTCAACTCTCTCTGGGATAGAGATAGTCTCCTATCTATGATGACTTTTTGAGGTGTCCTTTTTTGTTCTTTTTCTTTTTCTCCAACTCATGGTTCTCTAAGGGCTAACCAATTAAGGTTGAAATTTTGGTCAGTTGATCCCTCTAAACCAGTAATATGAAGTTTTTTCCATTTTTTTTTTTGTAAAACAAAATGTAGATGATCCAGTTCTTTATTACCTGGAACGATTATTGTAATGAGCAGAAGAGCTTCCACAAAGGAAGATATGGCCAAGAAAATTTGGTTTGTTCTCAATAATTAAGTATGTTAAATGTATTAAAATTAATTTTAAAAAATTTCAAAGCCAAATCCTCACAGTGACTTCTTTTAAACTCTTCTTTTTCCTTGATAAAGTAAATAAAAGCATTAATTTTAATTTTACAGTAAAAGAATTTGGATGCTCAGTGCCAAAGATGCAAAATAGCTTAAATAAATATACTAAATACTTTTTTTTAAAATATTTAATCTCTAATACTAATAATTTAATAGACAATTTGGCATTAGAGTTAGGCGTTAGGTGCCATCTCTTGATAAATTTAATAATTATAAATTAATTAAATAATTTCAAATAATAGTTTAGAATTACTGGAAGAAAAGAATTGGCCCGAAGTGGGACTTGAACCCGCAACTCCTGCTTACCATGCAGATGTGTGGCCAATTATGCTACCCGGACCTTCAGTCCAATCTCCTCTTCCAGCATATATAAGTTATAATAACCATCGATGGTTATATCATTAGCTTAAGAGGAGATCAGACCAAAGTTCCAGGTAGCATAATTGGCAACACATCTGCACGGTAAGCAGGAGTTGCGGGTTGAAGTCCCACTTCAGGCCGATTCTTTTCTTCCAGTAATTCTTAATTATTATTTAAAATTATTTAGTTAATTTATAATTATTAAATTTATCAAGAAATGGTGCTTAACACCTAACTCTAATGCCAAATTGTCTATTAAATTATTAGTATTATAGCCGTTTCTAGCCTGATAATATACAGCTTTGGTAGATGGATAGCTTTAATCATGTTGGGTATGTAAAGATGTTTGATTACTTATATGTTTTACTATCTGAAAATATTTTATAAGTTTGCTTTTCAAAATTATTTAAATAATAATAAAATTCAAATTAAATTGTTAATTATAGCTATATTTTCAAAAATTGGGAACTAAAATGTGGAAACTGTCCATAAATTAAACATAAATTACTTTTTGTAATCATCAAAAATAGTTACCACTGAAAGAAATTAATACAAAACTTTGAGAAATTGAAATCTAATATATAATCAGTAATTATTTTTAGTTAACTAATAAAACTAAGAGCTTATATCCATTTTTAAGAAATATGCAAAGTTATGATATACCAGAATTTAAGTTATAAAATATTTTGAGGTTTTTGAGAAAAGTTAAAATTTTGCATTGAGCAAATTTATGCTTATAAAACAACTTCTAGCACCTTTGTTTTTCAAAAATACAAATATTTTGGTCTCTTCAGAGGCCTTCTTCAGGTATTAGAATAACACTTGAAGAGGTTCAGTTGAATAATAAATACATCTTGTTCTAATATCTGTAGAGGCCTCTGAAGAGACCAAAATATTTGCATTTTTGAGAAATGAAGGTTCTGGAAGTGGTGTTATAAGCATAAGTTTTCTCTAAGATAAGGTTCCAGCTTATGTTGAGATTTATGTTGCATTGAAATGTTTAATATTTATATTTATAAATGCAACTTCTGAATATTTTTATTATAAAATTGTTTTATATTGTAATTCTATGATAATATTTTGAATATTTTATATACACCATTAGCAATACTATATAAGACACACTGTAAATTGTTAAACATTTCAAGTTAAAAATAAATAATTTCTTACCAATCAGTCATTTCAATTTTCTCTACTACCCAATTTAATTTCTAAAATAAACAAAAGAAATGCAAGATATTATTCATTTATCTTTGCTTAAGAAAAAATACAACAACACTTACTTCTGAAAGAGTTAACCTTTCAATACCATTGGCAGTCCAATCAACAGATACAGTAAATGGAATTTTTGATAACAATAGATAAAGCTTCAAAAAATAAATAATTGTTTATAATAAAAATTATTTATATTAAAAACACTGAATAATTAAAACAATAACTTTTGTACCTCTTCTAAACAATTAGGTTGAGTTTCATTCTGAATCATCATCCTCAACAGGAAGTTTATTAAGCATCTTGAATTAACAATAATATCTAACAATGTATTTTTATTTTTACATACATCTGGCCACTTCCATTGACTACTGACAGGAATGGCATTAAATGTTATAGGTTTTGATAAATCAGATATTATCCAATATAAAAAATTTAAAGCAACTATTCTGACTTCGTAGTAATTTGATTTCAATACATCTTTTAATAAATTACATATATTTTCTTCAGGAAGTAAAATTTTAGTCATAAGTAACAATGATGTTCTAGCAGTTAATGTTAAATATTGTATTCTTCCGGGAACTGATATATCACAAAAATTTTCTTGAATAGTAAATTCTTTATGGCAATCATGCAACATTTCCATTTCTAAATAAGAACAAAATTATATTATTAAAACAAAGAAATAAAATATTATATAAAATTCAACTTTAAAAGCCTTTCTTAGAAAATTAAAGTTAAAAGAAAAAAACACAAATAAACAATCAAATAACTTTGATAATTCAATCTAGTTTCTTTCAAAAAAAAAAATTATTCACTACAGCAAAAAACTGGTTGTTTAGCTAAAAACCAGAAGACAATGAAAATGCACACTAAAGGCTGTTATACACGGTAAGGAAATCCTTTGAGGATTAACCGTAATTTTTTTTCCTATCTATCCATTTTTAAATAAAAATAATTCTTTATACGTTGGGAGATATTTTAATAAGTTTTGTAAATTACTATGTTCGATCCAGCCAGTTATATTCGAGTTTTTTTCGTCTGTTAAGCACATCCTTTGAGGATTTCCTTACCGTGTATACCAGCCTTTAGAAGGGATTTTTCAAAAATTTCCCTGGGGGGGGCTTAACCTGAAGAACGGCTTCTACTGTACTATTTATATGCAATTTTTTGTTTTCAACTACATTTAGTCTTCATTGAGTACTTAGGTGTATTAAATTGATAACATTCCAACATTGTTATGAATATTTTTATATATTTCAATTTTTTAACCAAATGTTCAAACCGTTTTAAATTCAAATTTGTTATTGCATATTGGTTTGATTATAGAACGATTGTAAACGTTCCAGAAAATTGATCAAATTCAAAACAGTTTGTTTGATTCTCAGCAATTCTCATTATTCTCAGCAGTAGGTGTTATATAACAATTACTATAGTTGTTGAAATACTAAATATAAATGGGGTTTGCTTGCAAAACCACCACGAGCGAAGTCACGGGTAACAGCTAGTATTATTATAAATATGTATTTCAATTTTCATGATGTTCACTGAATTTGAAAATACTATTACTTAGAAATGAATTTTTAGGTTATATCTTTATTTTAAAATAAAGATATTATTATCAACTATATCTGATAGAACCTTTTCCTACAATTTTATGTCATCCTAGATATTTTCAATCTGAAGAAAAAAGGATTGAAAGGAGGTAGATGCATAAGAATATCAATTTCACCTAAACAAAGTTAGCATATATTCTTTTAAAGGCCATTTGAAATTTTTTCATATAACTTGGATTTAATTTAGATAGAAAATTCAATATATTTTTATTTTGCATAAATATAGAATTTTATTAGTTGATTCATAAAATATAGGAAAGAATAAAAAAAAATTTTTATTAAATATAATTATTTAAAAAATTTACTAAATCTTGAACAATAAAGTAACAATCAGTATCAGTTAAAGAAAATTAAATTATCACCAACATACTGAATAATGATGTAATTTTAGTTAAGAAAGGATTGGCTTCTGGTATTGTACAACCAAATTGCATCCATTCTATATTGTGTTGTCAAGTTGAACACAACATAGAATAAAGTCAAAAAGTTTTTAAAAAAGGTTTTACATTAAGTAATGTAAAACCTTTTTTAAAATTCTTCTTTATTGACCAATAAAGAAACTTGAGTTATCCATTTACATACAAGCAAGATACATTTTAAGCTTTACACTCCTCTTCAGTTGTCTTTAAATTACAAACTGATGAAACTAATACAAATTTTTAGAAAATTATTTTTTAAAAACCATAGAAATTATAAAACACATATCTTATTAAACTTGACAGACATTTCTTAAAATTATTTATAATTTGACATTTTTTTATATTTAATGTAACAAAAAAATTTTCATATTTTTCTGTTGTGCTGACTTATTTATATCCAACCAAGGTTTACTACATAGAATATATCAAATTATTAAAATATCTTATAAAACATTTTAAAAATTCCTTTAAATAACTCAACAAAAACTTTCTCACTTTTTAAAAATTAATTCTTAAAATTTATAACATGCCGTTGATGCTCTAAAAATATATAACACATCATCTTATAAATTTTACAAATTAATTTAAAAAAAAAAGGAAATTTTTTGATGAGTTACTTAAAGGAATTTTTTTAAATGTTTTGTAAGACATTTTAATAATGTGTTATATTCCATATAGTTGGATACTTTGGTTGGATACAAGTCAGCATGACAGGAAAATACAAAAAACCTTTTGTTACATTAAATTTAAAAAAAAAAGTCATATTATAAATAATTTTCAGAATAATGCCAAGTGTAAGAAGATAAATATGTATTTCATAATCTTTATGGTTTTTAAAAAGTCTTTTTGTAAAACATTGTAAATCAATTTGTAACTTAAGGAAACTGAAGAGGATCATAAAGCTTGAAACACATCTTGCTTTCATATAAAGTTTCTTTATTGTTCAATAAAAAAGAATTTAAAAAAGGTTTTACATTGCTTAATCTTCAACTTGATAACAAAGCTTGTAAATACACCACAACAAATATTTTTCAGAACTGTTTTGATAAGTGATATGGACACTGACAGAAAAGTGTAAGAAAAGCTTATTTTGGAAGTGGTTTAGTGTAAGAGTTTCCATATGTTGTGTAATAAACATTGTGTCAAAAGTTCAGTTTATTTTAGGCTCTACCATATACATTTTTGTAACAAATATAGTAACAAATATTTGCTTGAGTATTAGATAATATCAAAAAGATCAAAAAATCCAAAATTATAAATATAAAATCTATAGGAGTACTGTTATATTTCTGAACTGATTATGTTTAAATTCAATATATTATCAATTTTATGGGATATAAACAACTAAATATAATTTTTCAAAATTATAATTAATTTCTTAAAATCTTATAAAGTAGAAATTTGTTAATCCAGAATGTCGGGGAACTGGCACCCTCTGGCAGTGTAATTTAAACCATACATAGTCTATACTGCATTGTGATGAACAAACAATAGTAAAAATACATTGAAGAATACAAAGAGAAACTTTGTCTTCACAATCCATCCTCTCAGAGTAACCATTGACAAATCCAAAAAACACAAATCTTCATTTACAGAGATGACCTTTGCTTATTTTTACTATGTAAATTACCATCAGCCATTTTTTAATGAACTATTTATTTTAATTTATGGTATTGTTGCCAGAAGATATTTTTTTAACCAATACATTTTTTACAGTGGCACAGTGGTATAAAAGGTCATTTTCTGTAAGTGTAAAACAAAAAACACATAATACAAATCTTCACTTACAGTGAAGATTTGTATTATGTGTTTTTTGTTTTACACTTACTGTTTGTAATAAAAAATACAAATCTTCACTTACAGTGAAGATTTGTATTTTTTATAAATATGTAAGTGAAGATTTGTATTATGTGTTTTTTGTTTTGCACTTACAGAAAATACAAATCTTCACTTACAGTGAAGATTTGTATTTTTTTTGTTTGTGGTGACTGTGAGAGGATAGATTGTGAAGACAAAATTTGTATTCTTTGATGTATTTTTATTATGTAAATTACTGTCAACCATTTTAATGAGAAATTGCTTTGTTTGCTACATGTTTTGTGCGCATTAACATATGTGACTGACATATTTTCTTTTCCATAGCCCAATATGAAGACAAGTGCCCCTAAAACCTAAAAACAGGTTTCTCACACTAGTAGCATTTGAAGGTTTTGTGAATTGCATGCAAATGAAATCTGAACCATGCAGTGGTACAAAATGTAGAACAATATCTACAATGTTCAGATTTCATATAAAATTATTAAATTTTGTGAAAATATAACAATGATCAGTAATCCAATAATTTTGATAATCTAGCACCACTCTGACTCCATAGATGCTGCATTAACAAACTTCTGCTGTAATTAGAATTTATTTATTCTTTACCTGCAGGTATGAGATTATGACTTAGGAACAGATAGATAATATCGAGAAATGTAGATCTAGTAATAAAACATGGATTTTGCCTATAAAAAGAAAATTGTATATATTATTTATTATAATAAAAAAAACACTTAAATTGTGAAATATAAATTAATAATCTAAAACAAATATTCATTTCTTCATAACTGTAATAATAATTATGTTAAAAAAAATATTGTATTAACAATTTTATACAGATAATAAAAAAACATAAGAAATTAAGATTGTTTATTACAGTATATAGAACTTTAAAACAAATAGAGAAGATAAAGCATTTTCTGAAGAGAAGCTTTCTAAAAATAAGAAAATACTTTGAATTTCAAAAGGATATCCAATTGAATTATAGATAAATTAATCATTGTAAATATGATATAAAGATTTGATATCTGATGAATAAAAGAGAAGATAAAGTGATATGATGACCTTCTAATTAACACAAAAAGAAAACAATTATTTTAAAGAATTGTAGTATATAAATATAAGCATCTATTAATCTAGTTTTTGATTAAGGCCAAATGATCTTCCAGATTAAAAATTAAATATTAAATTATTTATAATTATTAAATTTAAAATAAAATAGCACATAACAACTACCTCTAGACAAAATTACCAAATATTTAATTATTAAATAGTAGCCATATTATAGCCTAATATAATCCAGCAGATTATTTGAATTGTAGTATGTTTTATTAATTTTTTAATCATATTAAGTAAGGAATTAACACTGAATTATTTATAAGATACTTTTAGACTAGAAATTTATTACAAAATTTGATTTAATTAAGTATAGTTATTATCATATAATTATTTATAATAATTAGAATTCACTTTTAATTTAATTAATAGTTCGTAACTTACAAATAATTTGGAAAACTTCAGTAAGATTTGTTTATCAAATGAAAGAAACTTTTAAAATTAACTTTTTAAAATTAATACAGTAAAATTTTATTAACCAGATGTTACTTTATATGAACAATTTTCATTAAAAATATTTCATGAAAAGAAATCCTGAACAGTTCCTTTATCAGACTAAATTCAGTTTAATAGTCATCTCTCATAATGATCTGAACAACGGATGTGTATTATGACACATATCTTATATTCAGGTTCAAAAACCACCTGATTTATGCTTCAAATTTGAATTTAAACCTGCATAATAATAATTTTGTTTTGCTAATACAGATTATGTTTTAATCTAGATGACTCCTTTCTCTAATATATCAGGTTAATAAAATTTTACTGAAATTTGCGATGTGCATTAAGGTAAAAAAAAATTTACATACTTCACTAAGAGAATGTAGTTACTTTTTACAGTTTTATAAATGTTTTCTTTTAAATCTTTAATATTATTTGTAGTGATAACTTCTTGAATCAAATAATAAATCTAAAAAAAGAAATATTTGATTTTAAAAATTTGCAAAATATGCTACAAATTTAATTATAAATTTAAAATATGGTATTTAATAAAAATTTTATTTTTATTTTATTTACATCTTTATACCTAAAAATATATAAATAATATAGTGTGTTTTATATACAGTAATGTATATAATCTTGTCAGGAACATGTGTATATACATGGCACAAATAATAAATACAATATAAAATAATTTTATCTTAACTTTTTAACATATATCTTCAACAAAAGAAGTTTAATCTAAATTTATTTCTATTTTAAAAATTAAATTTATATTAAAAACTTTAAATTTTATATAAATATACAAATTTAATAAAAATATTTTCATCATTCTATATTTATTTGAATAACCCTTATATATATTATAAGGGTTGTTCAAATGAAACAGATTAGATCAGGGATGGCAAACCTTTTTGAGTCCACATGCTAGTTAGCATAATTATCTTTAAAAATGTTTGTGTGAGATGAAGTTTTAGATTTGCAATGATAATATTTAAAGAAATGAAACAAATATGCTTTAATTAGGTTAGGTGAAGAATAAATGTAAAAAAGCTAGCTAAAAAAAGACCGATTGGATAATAAACCAAAAGATAATTGAAAAAAATGGTGATGATCCGAAATTGTATGATATATTATGACAGATGGGACCATATTCTGGTCATTGTCTCTCATCTCTGAGAGATAGTGTCTATGTCACAAGCTAGTCACTGATTGTCTAATCATTTGTTTATGTCTCGAGAGATCATTGCATCTCTCCAAATGCGATTCTGGACAACCTTTTCTCTCAAAGATTCTCTTGTCTCTCAAAGACAAGTGGATAGTTGTCTTTCATCTTTTGCCTCAATTTCGTTATATCCAAAATGGACGACTGGATGCTACTCATGTTGTACAGTTGCATTAGAGAACATTCTTTATCTTGAAAAAGAATATTTCGAGAGATAATGCTTCTGATTTTTTTTCCAGTGCCTACTTGGAAATGCTAATGATTCCATTCCAAACGCCATCTTTTTTTAATTAATGATCATACATCAATTACTGAACTATTGAATATGATGTTAATCTTAACCATTTCTCTAAGTATTTTTCAAAATATTACCATCTAATTTCTCCTTAACTAAGAAAGTACGCTTTTCTAACTTAGGTTATTAAAATTTTTATTTGTTAAATTTTTATTTGTTAAGAGACAATTTGACATTACAATTTGTAAAAATGTTATAAAACAAAAAACATCTATGTCAAAATTACGTGCCTTATTTGAACTCATGCTTTCCTTACAAAGGAATCTATAATTTTGTACTCTTCATTTTCAAAAATTTTACAATTTTATTGGTTAAAATTCTGTGATATGTTGCACATGCAGATTTCCCAAACATATATAATCAAGCTAGTAGAATAGTGACATTAACAACAAAGATAAGATCCTTACAAAATGACCAGAATTGCCTCTGTCTCTGAGAGATGAATTTCATCTCTCATTTTGACATCATTCATCTCTGAAAGAAGAGATGAGAGATAAGTGACCAGAATATGGTTTATAATCATGATTTTTCTTGACATGACACTTTAGGCATGTATTCCATAGGTTTGCCACCCCTGGATTAAACTGTATAATAGATATGTTGTTACTGATCACTACAGCAGGATTACAGTATATAGAGCATAGTGACAAAATTGCATTTGCTGCTGTAGGAAATCATTTCCTGCATTCAGACAATTGTTCCAATATGATATAAGATTGTTAATAATAAACCAAACAATTGCCAATTAATTATGGCAATCATTTGGTTTATTATTAATACATCAGGCTTAGTGATGTTTATATATATATAAACACTGTGCCTGGGTAAAGCAATAGCTGGCTGAGTGCCATAGTGCATAGTGGATGATTATAAAAAGGCCATGGGTATAGAGTCATCCCCAGTTAGCACCATGAGTAACCATGGATGGTTATATCAAGAATTAAATATGTCTGGAAGTGAAGAGTCACTTGGAGGTCTGGGTGACATAAGTGGCAATACAATCTCATGGTAACTGGGAGTTGCAGGTTCAAATCCCACTCTGGGCTGATTGTTTTCTTCCAGGCTATTCTAAAATTATTTAATAAATATTAAATTATTATAATTATTAATTTTGATAAGAGATGGCACCTAACATGTACTGTATCTCTAACACCAAATTACTTAGTATACCTTCCACATAGAAAGATCATGGATGGGATGTTAGGCAGCATTAATCTTACAGTTCCAATATTTCACCTTGCAACTTCTATGTCTTCAGTTCTTTAAAGTTTCTCAAAGGTTAAAGATTCCAGTCTGATAGCAAAGTCTGAGCTGCTGTAACTAAATGGTTCATCAAGCAGCCTTTCTCTTTCTGTATGGAAGACACACGTCTGAATGCATGAGGTGATTTCCTACAGCAACTAAGGCTTTCTTTCTGTGTTGTATATTCTGTAATTCTTTTATAGTAACCAATGATACCATATTTATTGTATAATCTAGAGCAGTGCTTCTCAAACTTTTTTGGATCACTGCCCCCTTGGTTGTGGCTGTTAGTAATCCCTGATTAATGCCCCCTTGCTCTGTGTACACAAAAACAGGGATAGAAGGGAACCAAGCCTACTGCCCCTGTCACCTCCTACCATACCTAATGCCCCCTTGGATAATTCAAATGCCCCCCACAGGGCAATATCACCCACTTTGAGAAGCAGTGGTCTAGAGAAATCATTACATATATGAAATTATTAATTTTTTAAAATACGGCTTTTTTTAAAAGCAAAAGCTCAATAATCAATAATGGAGCTTATTGATTATTGAGCTGCAATTTTCAAATTGCAGACCTATACATTCCCATAACTGTCCATCTGTCTGTCCTTTGTTAATCTCAAGAACAGAGTTAGATAGATGAAAATCAAGACAAGATATGGAAAGCTTAGGGCCAGAAAACCTGATTAACTATATAATAACTTCTGGTCTGGACCAGAAGTCACTTTATTTCAATTCAAAATTTTCTCAAGAATAAAGTTAGATAGATGACTGGCATGACTTGATTGTTATCAGGAGAAATATGATGTACAGAGACAAGACACTATTAAAATCAAGACTAGATATGGAAAACTTAAGGGCTGAAGACCTAATTAACTATATACAAACTTTCTGTCTGGACTGAAAGTCATGATTTTTTTAAATTAAAAGATAATTAAAACTTGCAGCCTGGCATTGTGACAATGTCACAATAAACATTTGCTTATTCTACATAAATTTCAACCAAATGACTTTGTTTATAAATGTTGATATACAGGGTGACACAAAGTTTGGATCCACAGAGAAATAACTTATACAATTTATTTAATTGTTCACAAGATACAGTAAATACTTGAATTGGTGACTTTTGTTAAAACATGTTTAAATGTTTGTAGGCCATGTGGAGTCAACAGTAATCCAAAATTATTGATTCACTAAAGAAGACAATTGTTTGTGTATGATATCATCAGTGTAACAATTTTAATAAGAATTCAAAGATGTGTTCACTGAATTTAGAAGTGCTTAGAAGTTTAAGTGCTATCAATTCAAGCATTTATTATAATTTGTAAACATTTCTATAAATTGTATATGTTATTTCTCTGTTGGTCCAAACTTATGTACCATCCTATATAATCCTTAAGTAAAGATAGCCTTTAAAATTATAATAGTCTTATTTTACATTAAAGTATCTTGTGAGTCACTACATGAAATGAAATTCCACAAATTTGTGCTCCATTCAAGCAGTCCCAGCCTACACACTTATGAAGCCATTTACAATCAACAGAAACATGTTAAGTGTTTTTAAAATGTTTTACTTATGTTTTTACTATAACAAATAACATTTAATTCAATGATTCTCAATATAAAGAGCAAAATTTTATTACACTTTATAGAGTATGCTAGTTTAGAAAAATATATGCAATCAAGAGTATTTTCCACAATAAATAAAATTTGCTAACTAATTCTCTATGTTCAAAATATAAGAAACTGGAGGGGAGTTTTATGACTTAAGAGTCAGATTTAGAGGCACTAAAAGTGATAAACTCATCCTACTTAATGTAACCATTTGCTATCTGTAAATTTATGTTTTTCAATCCTGCATTCAACCGTCCAGGTTCAATCCTGGATTTCCCAGTGCAGTAGACTGCTATCTAGACTGCTCGGCCATCTGGCCTTATCTAAAGAATGTTGTGTTTAATGGGCACATTACAAATTTAGCAGAACTGAAAGCCAGCATCACACATCATATCCACAAAAGCTCTACAAAAACACTCAGATCTGTTGTTGAACATGTTATTTTGCAATTTTCAGCTTGAATCAGAATGCAAAGGACAGCATATTGAACATTTGTTGTCACTTGTAAATATTTTTTACTTTTGTACTGCTTTCTATCATAATAAAACATGAACTGTCTCCTAGTGGCCAATTTTTGAAGTTAATTTTTTTCTTCACAAAAAAAAAAATTCCATTGTTTCACAGATATTCATGCAAAATGTCAAGTCATTCTGACCAGTGGTTCCTATTTCAGACATTGTGAAATCGGAATTTTAATTATGATTACCCTATAGATTGCTATATTATTATTATTATTATTATTATGAAATTTAAAAAATGTTTTTACCTGAAGTAATTTTCCATGTAATTTATTTTGATAAGTTAAATCATCAGCACAAATTGATTGAAAAAGTTCATTTAAGAATTGCAAGCATTCATCAGGAGACAATAATGGAATTAAGGCACGTGCAGCAAGTACTCGTGTTTTCCAAATTGAACTACAGGCTGCTTGTTGTACAAATGGAACAAAACAAATGAGGTTTAAATTAGAATCACAACCTTCTACTGGTGAAGGATATAATCTTGATAGAAGGAGAAGTATTGGATATAGTGTTGGATGGAGATACGAACTATAAATAGAAGCAATTACCAGGTTAAATTTAATTTAAATAATTTAATTTAAATATATATATATATNATATTATATATATATATATATATTATATTTTTGCAGAATGACCAGCATGCTGGTCTATCTGGTGAAGACCATAAAATCAGATATTTCCATATGGTAAAAATTGGCATGCTGGTTTATCCCAGGGAAATGCAAGTGTGCTGACTTAAGTGAGGTTACACATCCCTATCTAGAGGGTACATTAAAAAAATAATAATAAATTACATCACATAAAAACGAATGAGTTTTTATTCTAAAACTGTGAAACTAACAACTTAAAATACTCATGAAATTTCGAAAATGCTTTTTTTGTGTGTTTTATTGTTATTTGATTCAAAAATGCAAAAATAAACATATAAAACTTAAGAAACTTGCTATAAATTATCTCAGCTTACATCAATTAACATTGGTTTTATGTGAAATTTGAGAGGAAAGTGTTATTTTTAAGGTTGGGATGGATGGTCAGTGTAGCTCACACTGACTAACTAATACTACTAATACTACTACTATTACTATTGTCAATAATTCGTTAGCTGTTTTATTGTCTTGTAAATGAAAACTCTCTTTCTGATTTTAAGTCAGTCAAATTACAATGTTATTATTTTATTGTACTTGAAAGAATGTTTTCTTTAATGTTTAATGTTAATTAAACATTAAAGAAAAAGAACAAAAGAACAAAACATTATATCTGATTAATTTTATATTTTAGTCACAGTTTAACCATCATGCCAGTAACCTCAGAGTTTCCGGCAAGCTGGTCTCCCCGTTTTTATGTGGCATGCTGGTCATTCCATGAAAATACAGTATAAGTAAATTTTTAAATATATATAATATATATATTTAAAATATATATATTATATATATTAATCCATTTTATTACCTTCTAGAATTAACTGAAGATGACATTTCTTGTGTTGCTTCTTGTAATTCTTTAAGCAAGAATTCAAACAGTGAAGGAAAATGCAAGAAAAAAACACGTCCTGTCATACAGTTTTTTTTATGGGGTTCATCTTTTGAACGATTGACACCAAATATACGAGTCATCAAAGCAGTAAATAGCAAAGTTGCTGAATTTTGAACCTAATTCATTATAAAGAAAATTTGAAATATACATTATTAATCCACTTCAGGAATAATTTATCCATATTTTATAAATATCCTTAAAATAAACTATATTATTATATATTATATTAAAGAATAAAACCTAATTAAAACTAACATGACATATAAAATATAATCAAAATTATAATTTTAAGTAATTAGATTTATTAATAATCACATAAATTCATCTTCTCTGAGACAGTTAGTTCCATAAATTCAAGAAATGACAATTATAAAAATCACTAAACAGTTCAAGATGTCACCAACTTCTGAAACTAGCTTTTTGAGATTTTTTTTATGATTCTCATGTAATATTGTATTAAACTTGGTATACTACTATTTATTTCAAATTTTGTTATCTTTAGCCCAGTGTTTTTTCAACCTGTGGGTCGCGACCCCCAGAGGGGTCGCAAAGCCTTACACGGGGGTCGCAAGTAAAAAAAAAAAACAAGTGTTTATATGTTCTACACTACAATAAAAAAAACTACAATTTTGTTGATAAGGCTAGGCCTGTTTATTTTACAGTACAATTGGTTTTTCGATTGATATTTGGGTGTCAACAGAAAGAAAAGTAAATATGTAGTTTTTAAAATCACTGATATAGTTTTAATATGGCCCTGAGAGGTCGCCAGAATTTTTTAACTTGTAAAGGGGTCGCGTATTTAAAAAGGTTAAAAAACACTGCTTTAGCCTATCTATAATTAAGTAAATTTTAAATTAACTAATTAAAAATGATTAAAGAAATTCAAAAACAAATTTTTTCTGGCAAATATTAATCTGATACAGCCTAAACTTTTAATAAGTACCATAAAAGTTTTATGATTAAATAACTCATTACATTCATTAAAATTCATTTCTCTTGCATGAGATAGTTGGATAAAACATGGATAGAGTAATGCAAATATCACGGCTTTGTACTACAGATATGAAACATTTTTTTACGTAAAACAAAATCTTATTCATTAGTAAATCAATTTATCTTTATCAAAATTAAGCAAAAAACATAGATTATATTTTTATACTATAACAAAAATAGAGCATGGTTTAATCCATTCCAAGATTTGAATCTTCTTCTGCCCAACTCCATTTGAATAAGCTTACTGTTTGTTTGTTTATTGTCTTAAACCAAACTTAAGTCTAATCTGCTGGATTATTTTTTGCTATTTTAAGCTAATTTTTAATTAAATAAATATCTAAACTTTGACTAAAGGTAACTGTTTATCTTTTCCATCTTGTTACCATCTTTTGTAAAGATTGATAATTAAAAATTCAGAATAACAACTTTGAATAATAATTCAGAAAATTATTTTTCAAAGTCATTATTCTGAATTTTTTAATGGTGACATGAATCCAGCTCTATATTGATAATTCACACAGTACAGCCTGAAATATAATAAAGTTTTGTAGGCTTAAATTTAGTTAATAATTTAGGATTCAGATATATTATTTTATATATGTATACATGTATACAAAAATTATGTATTTACAAGTAGTGCATTAATAATCCAATGCAATTTTCTGTGTTATCATTCAATTTATCTATATGGTGTATATATATTGTATACCATTATCTAATCATAAAATTTTACTCTATTTTATTTTTACCCTCTTTTGCATTTTCCCAGACAACATCAGTTATTTAGTAGAGTATTTATACTATTTAAGGCAAATTAATTGTAATTTTTGTAAAATACTGTAAGGTCTCTTTTTATGCGGATTATTTTTATGCAATTTTGAAGTTGTGCAGTTTGTATTTCGTCCAAAAAATTTTTGGACAAACATACATATAGGCTTGTTTAGGAAGCCCGCGTAAGGACAGTCTCCAAAAATCGTGGAACACTCAAAGCTCACTCCATTTGTTCCGCTGACATATAACGTTTATGGATGTAAAGGACAGCTAGATCTACCTTAATCGCTTTAGTTCCTAGCAATTTTTGATATAAATGTAATTAAACATAAAAAAATATTTAAAACTGAAAAAAATGAAAGAAATGCGTTAATTTTGAAGAAAAACCTTCAAAGTTTAACTTCCTTTGTCTCGCCCTGATGTGAAATTTAACACCGATGAATCTTGTTTACACATCTGGATGACCATGAACACAGCTGGAGTTGGATTTCCCGGGGCATTCTCATAGACGTTGCGGGAGGACAAGGGTTTAAAGTAGGGTGAACACTAACTGGCCGTATATTTTTAAATATTTTTTAAAAATTTGGAGACTTAAAAACATTCCAAAAATTCAAAAAAAAAAAAAAAATTCAAAAATCTTAAGGACCGTGTTTTATGTAACGCTATGTAACCTGCCCGAGTTAACTCGGGAGAGGAACTAAAGGGTTAAAATTTAATTAACTCTTCACATCCAGATGTCAGTGATTTGTTTTTAGAGTGAGCTTTTGCAATTCGGGGATTCCCCTTGTACATGATACCATCGACAAGTCGCTATTACATCATTCTGAGTTTCGCATTGAAAGGTATAAACTGTAATTGTTTTGAAATTAAATTTTATATGAATTTCTTTCAGACATTCAAAGTAATTTATTAAGCAACCTATTTCTTTTAATTTCTGCAAACTTTTTTTATGTGGTTTTAAGTTAATTTTAACTCATTGTTTTGGTTTTATGCGATTTTAGAAAATTACGGAACGTATCCCTACTTTTGCAAGGCAAGTAAAGTCTTTTTTTATGCAAATTTTTTATATGCGCTTTTCTGTAGAACGTATCAATCGCATAAAACGAGACCTTACAGTAATTGTAAAAAAATTTATAATTTTTAAAATATTTTAAATTGCAAATTTTTAAAAAATTTCAATCATTATGACCAAGATGTTTTAGTAAAAACACAAAAAGCATTGTAAATACACAAACAGTTTTATGTGAGATATGAAATTTTTAGTAACATAAAAATTCTTGCTGAGAATAAAGCACAAAATTAGTTAATAAAAAGCTGTAAAGAATTAAAATTATATTTGATTTATATTCTAAATATATCTCAAATGCTACATTAAGATAAACATAAATTTTCAAATTCCTGATTACAATATATTCAATTGTCTCAAATATTACAGTATATACAGAATAATAAATTTCTTACCCCCCAGTGTACTTCCTTGAATCCCTTAATTGATGTTTTCACTCCTTCTGCAACAAAAGGCATAACAAGTTCTCCGAGACATGTATCTTTGTAAATTGCTCTCAAAATATTAAGAGCGTGAACCTATATTACAAAATATTTAAATTAAGATTCATTATTTTAAGATTCTCATTTTTTCAAAAAATAAAGACAATAAATTTATAAAATTTTTATATTAAAAAAATTTTCTCTAATGTTTCAAAGACAGATTAAAATTGGCAGATAACACTAATCATCAAATAATTTGTATCCATTACATACTGACTTTAAACAATAATTTGTAGGTTATCTGCACAAAATTACATTGAATATTTTATAGTAATTTGATATGAATACTGATTTAACCATTATGCATACAAACACACCACAATAAACAGATTTATTAAAAATCTAATGTTTTAGTCTACATGATAGACCATCATCGGAATATTGAGCATTTAAAAATATAATGCAGAAATGTTAGTCTTTGAAATAAATATAAATATTTGGAAAAAATTTAAGTACATAGAGAAATAATGTCAATTTATAATAAGATTTGTATAAATGACTATTGCCTGTTGTTCTACAATAAAAATAAATAAATAAGTAAATAAATATAAATACATAACAGTGTGGATTATATCTGTACTAAACTTGTATTGATGTGCATGTCCTTAACTTGTTAATTAATGAGTACTTCCATGCATTAGCAAGAGATTCAGAGTCATTTGTGATTAAACATTCATCGTTTCACATTCCTTAGCACACTAAAAGTGGTATTAGCCAGGAATTAACCAGAAAACAAAATGATACGTAGTTTACAAGCACAATCCTATGATATATATAATTTTAAAGAATGATAAAGATAGGATTCAAGTAGCATAAAAATGGTAGTGTATAGGATACTAGCTAAGATGAACAACATTAGCATGAACGTGGCCTACATTGGTTACACAAGGAGGAATTTTTCTAAATGAATATATGAGCTCAAATATGATGCATGTAATAGAAGAAACAGCACAGCTCTAGCCTGTATCACTAGCATGGAGATGCTGAGATAACATGGAATGATGCAGATGTGAGAAGCCAAACTTTAATGAATATCTTTTTTCGATTTCATCATACCTATTTTGACAACTAACGCTGTTGACTATCCCTTACTACTACCAGAGAATATCTCCATTTACATTTTCTCAACAGTGAAAGTGACACTTTTCCGATCTGTTGACCTCTCGGCCATGTGTTACCGTTTTAATATCAGAATTGATGGCCAAATGAGTCAGTCGTTGTCTGTTCCTCAAGGAGTCAAAATCATCACAATTTCTTGTGTGAGTGCCCAATCCTACTTCACTTTGGATATTTCACTTTACCTTCGGTCAAATGTGTCTTCAAAGACAAACTTTCCTGAATGATCCTTAATCATTCAGGAAAGTTCAATTAGACAACCTTAAGGCCCTAGTCACAACAAAATCCTAATCAAAGCACATTACCTTGGAGACACCATCCACTCCAGGTATTTATCAACTCATGAAGAATTGTAAACTCTCTCTCTCATGATCACCTCCATTAGATAGGTCAGTTAATCTGATATTATGATATATGTATCATATAATCTTTTTCTTTTCAAATAAATAATTATTTGTTGTTAACCCTAGAGTCTGTGTGCACTACTTCCGTTGCACTGTCTCACCGTCCTCCATCCAGAATCCGATCGCTCATCTACACAGCCGCTTGTATGACCTACTTTCAAAACCAAAACAACCTCACCTTTGCGGCTTCTGTGTCGAACGAGACATGGTGGTGTCAGTCCTGATGAGGCATCAAAAAGGTACTGACCCTCCAGTTACACAAAGATCATCAGACACATCACTTCACTTCTCTAATTTGTGGATAGATAGTAAAAAATAAAAAAAAAAAAAAAAAAGGAAATATTTAAGCAGAAGTTAGCAGGAATATTCTTAAACACAACAGTCTCTGAATCTCTTGCCAATGCATGGAAAGACACATTAATTAACAAGTCAAGAACACATACCAATACAAGTTTAATGCAAATATAATCCACTTTAACAACAGACTTATCATATATTAGCTATGTTTACTGAATAATTAAAAATTAGCAACAAGTAAAACACCAGTATGCATTCAAACAACAAAAACACAATGTTGTCCTTCTCAGCTTGTGTAAACTTAGTAGAGAGGAGAGAGTGTAGATTGTCTATGTTGGGTATGTTGAATTGCAAAAATATAAAAGAAGGGAAAAGAAATAATGGAATGAACAGTGGATATTGGACAGCAGTCTGGTGTTTGGTTACAATATGTATGATTACTGGAGGTGGATATTTGAAAAAAGAATACTCTAATGGAATTTTTATAAAATATATAAAAACTGACTAAAATTATTTTTTGTCAGGGAACTAAAAGCTTTACTTTATCAACACAAATATATATTAATATTACAATGTAGTAACTGTTGTTATTAAATAAATTTTATTCTTTAAAAGTATTTTCTTTAAGATTATTTTAGAAGAGATAAGTGTTTATAATAGTATTAAAAATCAAAAAACTTATTTGTGAACATTTTTTATTTTATGGTAGTTTTAATTACAAATTAATAATAAGTATACTGCATGCTTAGCTTTTTAAAGAAAACAATTAATAAAATACAGTATTTGAATTAATACAAATTAAATAATGTATGTGATTTTACACTATAATAAAGAAAAAGATTTTTATGATAGAATGAAATTTCAGCAAAATATTAAAATATTAGAGTTTAAGAAATAATTATATTATGAAATCATTTTTAATTGTTTTTAATATAAAATTATAAAGATTATATTATATAATACAAGTTTTGCATCTGAATTATTCTATACAAAAATTGATATCAATCTGAGAAAATAAATAAAATCTTAATTAAAAAAAAAATATACCTGAGCATCAACATTTTCAGTGAATCGTGATAAATCCAATAATTTCTCCATAGCTTGCTTAAAACAATTAAATCCAGTTACATTTGGTTCTGTAATTAATAATGCCTGAAAATTATAAAAAAATTTAAATAAACATTGAAATAATGAGAAAAATACATCATAAAAGATTAATTATTTAAAATATACAATATGTAATAATTTAAAAATTCTTAATCTTAAAATCTTAAAAAATGTTCAGTAAGGATAATAATTATCCTTACTGAACTTTTTTAAGATTTATTTTAAGATTTTAAAGTTTCTTAAAAATTATTATGAACAGAATTAATAAATTTAACTGTCTATATCAGGGATGTCCAACCCGCGGCCCGTGGGCCACATGCGGCCCAAGGCAAGTTCCAATGCGGCCCAATAGAGGTGTAAACAAAACCGACAAATGTTTTAATTTTTTATTATTTATTTATTTCAACAGCATAAACTCAGAAATGAAGTTTCGCAAAGCCATAAACCTTTATTCATATTTTAGTTTTGAGTGGAAATGAAATATTTTAATGTACTTGGAGATGTGTGAATGAGGAAGGATTACTAAATAAAGCTGAAGTTGTGACTCAAAAGATTATAGACCCAAATTTGGTGAAAAGAGAGAAAGGACAAAAGATAAAAAGTTGTCAGAAAGGTTAAATAGTTCTTTTGTTAGGCAAATATTGAGTCTTAATTTTCCAATCTTTCTCACTTTATCTTTTGTCCTTTCTCTTCTTTTTCTGAATTTGGCTCTATAATCCTTTGAGTTAAAACTCCAGCTTTATTTAGTATTCCTTCCAGCATTGCAAGATTTGGCTACATTGCGCCAAATGTGGCTACTTTTTTTAGTTTAACGTAAAAAAAATATCATTTGGTGCTTTGGCTACTTTTGGGGCTACATATCATTTATAAATATATTAGTTGAATAAAAATGCACTTTAAAATGGTGTTTCGTCACTTTTTATTAATCAGAGACTCAAATAAACCAAATAATTGCGTTTTATCAAATAAATGAATTTATCTATTTCTAAGTAAAAATTAAAGTGTCTGTAGAAGTAATTTTTTAAAATATCCTGTTTCGTGATAAAGTTTTAATACTTATTATTATAATCTAGACATGTTAATCCTTAAATATACTTGTATATTGGGCCACAAGTATATATTATATATACTTGTGGCCCAAAACTCCATGACTTCTTCCAATGTGGCCCAGAGAAATGAAAAGGTTGGACACCCCTGGTCTATATCATTTAATTATATGTCAAAATAATAATAATAATAATAACAACAACATATTTATTCAAGAAGAACAAATTTAAACTACATGTAATATTTTGCCTATATTTAAATATTTGATATAATAGTATATTTATAGCAGAAAAATAGTATATTTAAAGCAGAAAGTATATTTATAGTAAAAAAAGTAGCTTAAAAATCAGAACAAAAATATTATGCCAGATTATTATTTTGTATAATCAAAATATAATCATTATTCTGTAATCATTCTCATTTCTTCATAAATCATGTAAATTAATGAACAAACTAATTATATTTAATATTTTTATATTTTAAGATTTTTGAACATGGTTTATGAGTTATTTTACATGAATATAAATATAGGGTGTGTCAAAATGAGACCAACAAACTTCAGGTGTAAATAAATGCTTGTTATAAAGGACATCAAACAAGCATTAAGCATTTATTGCCAATAAATCAAAATTTGCAAATGAGTCATTTTGCCAGTAGAACAAATCAACAAATGAATCAATAGTTTGTATACATCGAAATATAAATGATGCTGTCATATCCCACACTAAATTTACACAATTGTTTTGGCTGTGGTTTTTACATAATTTAAGTAAAATATTATTTTGGATTAATATATTTTTTCATTCAGAAAATATCTAAATATAAACAAGTTTTGTATTTAAAGGAAGAAAACAGATCATAATTTAATATAAAAAGATAACTTTATTTTCGTTAGTTAAATCATAAACATTTAACTATTATATAACTTTTGATTGAAAGTACATTTAACTATTCTATAACTTTTGATTGAAAACTTTTTCTAGGTATTTTTCCATTCCTAATATTGATTGCCAGAAAGAGATGATATCTGATTTTGTAACATATTGCTGATAGTTATTCCTTCCCATTTTGCTTGTTGCTGCATTCCTTTTGGCATTGTGTTACTGTATGCACATCTCTTTGTTCATTTTTGTTATGTTAAGATCACTTTCTTTCTAAACAAGTGATAACAGTTACTCTCTTAGATAGATGTCAACTAACATCTAGTGTAAACAAAACATAGTTCCCTAAAAAAGATATAATATAATAAAAACTTAACTGTCAATTCTACTTTATATGTTTTAAAAAATCAAATAAGCAGAGAGCAGCTATCTGTTACAGAATAGTAAATTGCAATAATTTAGAAATATGAATATTTTTCAAATTTATAAATTTTTGTAATCACTAACTCTATTAAGTCTTCACAGACTATTTGCTTCATATAAAGCAATTGAGTTTTCAAGAATCAGTGTTTACTGACAATTTTTTATTATTACAAATTTCTTTTTTGTCAATAACACTCCAACAAAGAAGAATACCCTGTAATTATAAAAAATTATATTAAAATTTTGTATAATTATACTTTACAGTAACATTTTTTAAAGACAGTAGGAAATCTTTATTTGTCACTATACCAATTACGAGATTTTTGTCTGTTTCTATTTTCTAATGTTTTTAATTTTTTAATTTAGCAATTACAGATATCTATAATAGCCATTTATCCTTCTACTAAGACTTGGTTAACTTCCATAGAAGTCAAAATTTTTGTTTTAATATTATATTACTGGCTCTAATTCTTGCCCATCATTCAATTAACTCAAAAAAGGTTACCATTAAATTTCTAATAACTGTTTTTACCTGAACAGCAAATGGAACTCCAGCACTTCTTCTAGTTGGACACAGTTTTAAATCTCCTTTTCCACATAATGAATCAAATAATTCTTGTAGCCATATTTTTGGCAAGTGATGCAAAGATGTTCTGCTAGATCTATAAGATGATAATAGTTAAACAATTAAGCATTATAAAATTAAATCATTATTATTAAACTTGTATTCATCTCAGAATATTACATTATATCTAATTTTAAATCTAGAAAACATATGGTATTAAATTTTACACAATAGTTATATATTAATTAGTCTCTGATACCAGACACAGGTCAAATTTTTTCTGCAAGGTCAATAGAAAGTATGCTATATTTATCATCATCTTGTGTTCATTTAAATGGCTTAATTTGCTTGCCATTTAATTTTAGTTTAAATAAAAACCAGAATGATATAAACAATGTAGCTATTTGCATAAACAACATGACCCAGGATTGCCTTCATTTGAAGCATTAGAAGACTTACATAAAAAAATATAATAATTTTTTTAGAGTCTATTCTTTAATCCTTTTTACAGTCCAACTCAGAAATAACAGCAAAACTGACCTGAACATATAACTAAATCTTCAATTATTTTATTGAAGATTAACCAAAACATAGAATATTAAAAAATCACATAAGTTAAAAATGATCAAGGCGCCAACCTTTTATTATGAAGCCCTCTAATAGATATTGTGAAAAATTTTATTAATGTTTTATTGTAAAAGTGCCGAATCCTACAATAAAAAGTTGGCATTTTGATCAATTTTAACTTATGTAATTTTTTTAATATTCTATGTATGTTGTTTTATTTAGTTATTTCTTTGAGCCAGTTTTGCTATTACTTCTGAGTTGGACTGTAAAAAGGATTAAAAAATAGACTCAAAAATAATTATATTTTTTTTATGTAAGTCTTCTAATGCTTCAAATCAGGATGATGTTAAATGTAGCACACCCTCTGCTGACCTTTCAAGAAACATACTAGAAAATGATTTCACACCACTATGGCCCAAACTTCCATTCTTAAATAATGTTTGGATTGTAGATCCCTGTTCATCTGGGAGTCATTATATAGATCTTTGTTAAAACCCTGCAACTCTCCCACTCTCAAACTCCCTGTTATATGGATAACACTTTACAAAAACTTAAAACCTTAATCTTTATGTTCTTATTAATTATCAATATCTAGATATTTATTTTAACCTTATTTTGTTTTTATGTTATTTTTCTTAACACTATACTGTATTTTATTTTGGTTATCGATTTTTTTATTTTATTTAGCCACATTTTATATATGTTGTGAATATCCTCTGTATTTGTTTTAAATTCAAATCAAAACTTTTACTCATACGTTTTAATTCTAGCACTTACTACACATTTAGATTTAGAACATGTTCTTACATTTGGTCAATGTGAAAAAATTTTTTAAATTGCTATTCAAATTTTGAATGTTCTTTGTTCACCTAAGGATGACATTTAAAAATGTTGAAAGTACTTGTATATATCCAATGTCAATAAATAAATAAGTAAATAAATTTAATACCAAAAGGCAGTATATTTCCTCTGTAATCTATATTTAGCATAGTATGTGAGTATATAAATTTTTCCATAAAGCTTAACATTCTAATTCTGGAATGTACTGTACATGTGATTGTTACAATATTTATAATTTAGAAATACATTTGAAATTCAAAAGTTGTTCTACACTTTTTCATCTAGAATTATGTGAGAATTAATATTGTAATGATTGTAATTAATTTTAAATATTGTAACAATTATATGTAAATTCCAGAATTAAAATGTTATACTTTATAGACCTGAAGCAGATTTGTTATTAGATAAAAAACATTTGTCAATGTTGAATTAAAGCCTGTTGGTTTTAAAAGTATAGTTGATAGTTGTATGTGTTCAAGAACAATTCATCCAGCATTTGTGAATAATTTAAGATTTTTACATATTCAATCATAACTGATTAATGCATAAAAATTTAAAGTCCTGTTTACATTTACTTCATTTTTATTCATAATTATTTAATCTGCATTTATTTTTAAGCCATAATAAACAGTTAATTTGAATTAAATTTTCAAAAATATTAATGTGTTTTCATTGCTTTAAATATATTAAACTACAATATAATATTACATAAAAAATTAATTTTCTGTACATTCTTTAACTTAATTTTTCAAATATATATAATTTATTACTTTTAATTCTATTTAAAAAATAATGATAAATTAATAATGTTATAGAAATTTATTTTTATTATATACTATGAAAAATTATATCAAAATAAACAAATTACCTCCAAAGTCTGTGGCATAATTTTGAAAATCCTATATAGGCTTGTTCAAAAGCTCCACGATGTTTAACTTCAGCTAACTGTTGATTAAAAAATTCACCTATTTTCAAAATCTATCAAAATAAAAATTTTAAATACTTGTTACTTTTGACAATAAATAAAAAAAAACAATAAAAGAAAAATTTTAAACCTGGTCACAAGAAATAAGGCCATTATCATTTTCTTCTGAAATAGGAACTTTTTGACAAATATCACCAAGCAATAATGATACTTCTTTATGTGCTCTCCAACTGCATAATAATAACATTTGTGCTGTCACTGCTCTAGTTTTCATTACATCAATTGTTACAAAAGACTTGCAATAATCATCATTTAAATTTTTAACTATTTGTGCAGTTTCAAAACGTCGACCAATTGCTTTTTGTACCGCTGACTGTAACTGATTCAATGTTTCTAAAAATCATAATTTTGTTAGTTATAATCTAATAAGATTAATAAAAGATTTAAAAAATTTTTAATAGTATTCTATTTCATGCAGTATGATTTATTATTGTTATTGTTTTTCTATCAAATCATTTTAAAATATGATGAAATACATTAGATTGAATGAGCTTATACATCAAGCAATAAAATAAATAAATAGTAGCAGTTTCTAAATATACACTGTTACATACTACATGCAACAGTATATATTTTATAAATTAAAAAATTATAGAAATTTCTAATTAATTATCAGAAAGATTGAGAATTGAAAAAGTTTTTCAAACACTTATTTCAAATATTTTTAAATAAAATTTTATTTGATTTTATTTATATTAGACAAATATTAGATATATTTATAACTCTCTACAGAAAGAGTAACAAATTCATCTAACATTTTTCATGTAAAATCTAACTTTAAAATATTTGAAATAAGTGTTCAAAAAAACTTTTTCAACTCTCAATGTTTCTGATGATTAGTTAGGAATTCCATTAATTTTTATTTTTATAAAATAATAAAATTAGTCATACTGTAGTAATTTCAAAAACTAATAACATAACTATATTATTGGTTTTTTGAATAAACAAAAGTATTGTTTATTCAAAAAAGTATATTAAATATATCAGAAATATTATAAAGTTTATAAACATTTCTATTTTAAATTATTATTTTTTTACTTCTTTCTCATGTAAATGTTTATTTGAATTATGGAGTCACTAATAGAGAAGAATTGTATATTGAATCATAAAGATTAAGGTGATGATGGCTTCTATTGATAAAATAAACAATTTGATCAAAAATGGTAACACTGAATTCTGTACAATCTACTGGTTTGACATACTGAGTAAATTATTAAATTATCATTACATAGATAACAGATCAATAATTTATTATTAACAAATTAAATTCACTTTTGATACTAATGTATTTTTTTGTTTTTTGCCTCTACTATTATTAAACATATTTACTATCTTAAGGTAGTTATTTATATTAGTGCTTATCACATCAGTGAACATAAACACAAAATTTCTTAAATTTAATATATATTTAAGTTTATAATAATTAAAACTTTCAATATGTACAAAATATGTAAAATACACCCAAAATGCATTTCAGACTTTAAAATAGACTCTCTTCAGTTGATGTTTTAATTAAACACATGAGAAAGTATACATAAAAGTTATATTAAAAAGCCATAATAACAATAAAGACAACACAATTAAGAAACTGTCATCATTATTACATCCTTTTAATATAACTTTTATGTATACTTTCTCATGTATTTAATTAAAATACCAACTGAAGAGAGTCTATTTTAAAGTCTGAAATGTATTTTGGGTGTATTTTACATATTTTGTACATATTGAAAGTTTTAATTATCGTAAACTTAAATATATAAATATATATATATAAGCAAATTTTCAGTTAGGAACTACAATTTTATTTTCAAAATTGACAAATGCAATTTATATAACAAATACAATATATATATAACAAATGCAATTTATATTGACAAATACAATATATAATATATATATATTCAATTTTAGAAATTTTGTGTTTATGTTCACTGGTGTGATAAGCCTTAATATAAATAACTACCTCTAGTTAGTAGATACGTTTAAAAATAAAAAAAATTAAAAAGTAAAAATATAAAGTAAAGTAAAAATTAAATTCAGTAAATAAAATTAAAATTTAATTTAAAATACTAAAACTTTTATAAGGGTATGTGAAGGAAAAAGCTTTCTTTTTTTTGGAAATTACAGATTTTATATTCATTAGATAAAAGACAATTGAATATTCCATAAAATTATTTTACATAAAAACTTTAAATTGATTAAATTTTTAATAAAACAGTTTCTTAAAAATTATACATTGAATAACATTATTAAAACTGATAAACAGTAGTTAAATTTCAAGTAAATTTATATTGTAATGAAACATTTAATAGATGTATAATATATGTTTATAGTGACATGAAACAAATTTCAGTTTAAAATAATATTGATTCAACAGATTTGTAGTAATTAAGTAAATTAAATTTTTATTTTTATATAACAGAATAAATAATTTTTATAGTAATCTGTTATGATATATGTTTATAGTAATCTATTTTATATAATATATGATGTATCTGTTGTCTTACTTAATTTATAATTTTTTTTTATTATGTCTGTTATATCTTTTATATTTTGTAATCATTTTATTGGGGATCATTTTTTTTTTTCTTTGTTATTGGGGAGTGGAATGGAATACAATCGTCTCTGATGTTTCCAATTAAATGTAAATAAATAAATAAATAAATAAATATTAGTTNCAATAATCATCATTTAAATTTTTAACTATTTGTGCAGTTTCAAAACGTCGACCAATTGCTTTTTGTACTGCTGACTGTAACTGATTCAATGTTTCTAAAAATCATAATTTTGTTAGTTATAATCTAATAAGATTAATAAAAGATTTAAAAAATTTTTAATAGTATTCTATTTCATGCAGTATGATTTATTATTGTTATTGTTTTTCTATCAAATCATTTTAAAATATGATGAAATACATTAGATTGAATGAGCTTATACATCAAGCAATAAAATAAATAAATAGTAGCAGTTTCTAAATATACACTGTTACATACTACATGCAACAGTATATATTTTATAAATTAAAAAATTATAGAAATTTCTAATTAATTATCAGAAAGATTGAGAATTGAAAAAGTTTTTCAAACACTTATTTCAAATATTTTTAAATAAAATTTTATTTGATTTTATTTATATTAGACAAATATTAGATATATTTATAACTCTCTACAGAAAGAGTAACAAATTCATCTAACATTTTTCATGTAAAATCTAACTTTAAAATATTTGAAATAAGTGTTCAAAAAAACTTTTTCAACTCTCAATGTTTCTGATGATTAGTTAGGAATTCCATTAATTTTTATTTTTATAAAATAATAAAATTAGTCATACTGTAGTAATTTCAAAAACTAATAACATAACTATATTATTGGTTTTTTGAATAAACAAAAGTATTGTTTATTCAAAAAAGTATATTAAATATATCAGAAATATTATAAAGTTTATAAACATTTCTATTTTAAATTATTATTTTTTTACTTCTTTCTCATGTAAATGTTTATTTGAATTATGGAGTCACTAATAGAGAAGAATTGTATATTGAATCATAAAGATTAAGGTGATGATGGCTTCTATTGATAAAATAAACAATTTGATCAAAAATGGTAACACTGAATTCTGTACAATCTACTGGTTTGACATACTGAGTAAATTATTAAATTATCATTACATAGATAACAGATCAATAATTTATTATTAACAAATTAAATTCACTTTTGATACTAATGTATTTTTTTGTTTTTTGCCTCTACTATTATTAAACATATTTACTATCTTAAGGTAGTTATTTATATTAGTGCTTATCACATCAGTGAACATAAACACAAAATTTCTTAAATTTAATATATATTTAAGTTTATAATAATTAAAACTTTCAATATGTACAAAATATGTAAAATACACCCAAAATGCATTTCAGACTTTAAAATAGACTCTCTTCAGTTGATGTTTTAATTAAACACATGAGAAAGTATACATAAAAGTTATATTAAAAAGCCATAATAACAATAAAGACAACACAATTAAGAAACTGTCATCATTATTACATCCTTTTAATATAACTTTTATGTATACTTTCTCATGTATTTAATTAAAATACCAACTGAAGAGAGTCTATTTTAAAGTCTGAAATGTATTTTGGGTGTATTTTACATATTTTGTACATATTGAAAGTTTTAATTATCGTAAACTTAAATATATAAATATATATATATAAGCAAATTTTCAGTTAGGAACTACAATTTTATTTTCAAAATTGACAAATGCAATTTATATAACAAATACAATATATATATAACAAATGCAATTTATATTGACAAATACAATATATAATATATATATATTCAATTTTAGAAATTTTGTGTTTATGTTCACTGGTGTGATAAGCCTTAATATAAATAACTACCTCTAGTTAGTAGATACGTTTAAAAATAAAAAAAATTAAAAAGTAAAAATATAAAGTAAAGTAAAAATTAAATTCAGTAAATAAAATTAAAATTTAATTTAAAATACTAAAACTTTTATAAGGGTATGTGAAGGAAAAAGCTTTCTTTTTTTTGGAAATTACAGATTTTATATTCATTAGATAAAAGACAATTGAATATTCCATAAAATTATTTTACATAAAAACTTTAAATTGATTAAATTTTTAATAAAACAGTTTCTTAAAAATTATACATTGAATAACATTATTAAAACTGATAAACAGTAGTTAAATTTCAAGTAAATTTATATTGTAATGAAACATTTAATAGATGTATAATATATGTTTATAGTGACATGAAACAAATTTCAGTTTAAAATAATATTGATTCAACAGATTTGTAGTAATTAAGTAAATTAAATTTTTATTTTTATATAACAGAATAAATAATTTTTATAGTAATCTGTTATGATATATGTTTATAGTAATCTATTTTATATAATATATGATGTATCTGTTGTCTTACTTAATTTATAATTTTTTTTTATTATGTCTGTTATATCTTTTATATTTTGTAATCATTTTATTGGGGATCATTTTTTTTTTTCTTTGTTATTGGGGAGTGGAATGGAATACAATCGTCTCTGATGTTTCCAATTAAATGTAAATAAATAAATAAATAAATAAATATTGTATTATGTGATAAATAAAATTTAGTTTTAACTAAAATAAAATTGACAGCTAAAATAAATTCAAGAAAATCATCAGATCCAAAAGTAGTACTATAATTTTTTACAAATAATCCACAGTAATGTATTACCCATATTATTATAACCTGCA